AAAGCAGCTGGAGAGAGAGGCTACTATATTGTCTGCACCGTAACGGTGAGCTTCAGGTCGGCACCGTACTAGCAATATAGGAGTATTACATATATGCTATTATTATACATACTTTACTTTCAAGATTACTTGTTGGATCGCTAACTCCTGGCCAGAGAGAAATCTCTATTATTGAATCTAAATCCTCTCTTAAACAGAAAAAAATTGAACATCAGTACATATGTGTTTTTCAATGAGTTTAGTGCGAATGAGTTCAAAATACCTCGTTAAATGATAGTTTTTCATAATATCTATCGCGTTTTCTATGCCATCGGTGCCTTTATCTATCAAGGGCTTTACAATGGCATTTCGAATATGGGTCAGATAATCCATGTTCAGGGCGTCTTTGCTCGCACCAGTAGTTAATCGCGTGTGCGTCGTTAACTCTTGCAGCAATCTGGAAAAAATACGCACGTGTGTGTTGTCCCAATTCCAGCGTTGTTTAATCGCAATATCCCGTATGTTAACACAAAAATCAATATTTAATCACAAATACCTGTTGAATCTCATTGTTTTCGAGTTTCGCCCGAACCAACTCGGAAAACGCACCATCGCGTCGAGACTTCCCGCGAGTTCGTTACCCGGAATGACGAATGAGAAACACGCGTGCATCGGAAGCAAACTCCACATCATGTTGCTTCTCATCACCTTCTCGACGAGATCCCCGTGGGATATGCTGTCGGCCGCCTTGGAAATTTTCTCTAACTTCTGAAGACTGTAAATGTAATGTTTATTGGTTTTTTTTCTTTATGTAAAAAAGAGAACGGATGTACTTACGGTGACGTTTGAGGTATTCTGACACTCAGATAATTCTCTTCTATGAAAAGAGGTGCTATATTGTAGTCGTGGAAATATAGACTGATCTTATTGTTCAAATCCAATTTCTTCTGCTCCTCCGCGTTAAACGCCATTTTCACGACATCAAACGGACCGAGTTTGAAGTCCTTCTTCGAAGGTTTGTTGATCGTTTCCGTGTTCGATGTCTGACTGCTGAGAAACTCCAGATGATTTATTACTTGTCGTATATCGTGATTCGTCGATTCGATCAAGTGATCGAGGTCCTGCGTCGAAATTTCAATCTTCTCTTTGTAGCACAGAGATTTCATAGAACTCTACGGAGAAAAACAATATATTTATTTATATCATAAAAAAATGAAAAACGTCATTCAAGCTGAATCTAGTGAACTAATGTACTCTTATCTGCTCCACTCTGAGCTTCGGAAATTTTAGATCGTAGCAATAATTGACAATGGTTTTCATCTTTGTGTTAAACCGGTCATTGCATATGCAAATAATTGGTACGTCGGTGTGTTTGATCAAGTTGACTAATTCCTGCAAACCACCGCGATCCTCGTTACCCGCCATACCGTCGACTTCGTCCATCAGCAACACGTGTTTCTTCGTAATTTTCTGCGTGGTGCCTGCAATGTGTTACATGAAACAACAGAATTGGCATCGTTATTTCAAAATTGAGTGTCACACATATCTACCCGTGACAAAATCCTTCATTGTAGTATTGGACAACAGTCCCGAGACTTCTGCCTTCAGAAGGTTTTTGTTTCTCGTGTCGGAAGCATTGAACTCTACAAGGTCGTATCCCAATTCTTTACATACAACTTGCGCAGTTGTCGTTTTACCTATGCCTGGCGCACCAGACAGCAAGGCAGCTTTGTAGATTTGCCCGTTAGTTTGCTTGGCTATCAACAAACATACAAGTATCCACGATTTATTATTTATCGGAAGTTTTATTTAAAAAAAAAAGAAACAAGAAAATCGCGTAAGAACTGTATTGATGTAGATAAAAATTTACAAACACGCGTCACGAACATCTTACCATCTTTGATTTTTGGATCTTGACGATTCTTGTGCCAATCACGTAACCACACATACAAGTTATGCGCGCAGCTTCTATCTCCTTGCTGACCTACAATTTGCTTCATAGTCTTGGGTCTATATTTTTCGACTAACGGTTGCGATTCGAAACTGCTGTGAAGTGTCTGAAAAAAATTGCATTTATAATGCAAATTGTACAGAGTTACGTTATTTTATCCACTTAACAAGTTTGTTAACAATATGTTTGTCACGTACGTGTGTTGATTTAGTGCTTGTATCCAAAGCAATCTGCTTCGGTGATAACATCTTAACGTCTTCGGTTATTGTCTTTGTTGGAGAAATCATTATCTCAGATTCTTTTGATAGGTTTTTGGATTTTGGCTTAGCTCTCGTCGCAGTTGGCTTAATATCTTCAGTTTTACCTTCCGGTCTGGTGCGAATCATCTCGATAAGATCGTCTTCGGATATTCGTTTAATACCTAAATTATCAGCCTGAAAACTTATTTCATGTAAACAAGAAACTATCGATCGATTTGGACTCCAAGTACGTGAAAATATACTATATGTGAAAATATACCTTTTCCAACTTGGCTGGGCCAGGCTCATCTCCTACAATAATAAAATTAATTTTTTTTGATACGCAGTTCACGGTACGACCGCCATATTGACGTATCAGATCTTCAGCGTCAGTTCTTTCCAAAGAATCTAAGACACCAGTAATTACGAAACTCACACCGGCTAGACAATTTTTAGCGCCCTAAAATACAAACTCAGTCGATCATTATTGATAAAAAGTCTCCGTTAAAATCTTAACGCAGAAGTCTATCTACTTTTTTTTTTTTAGGTTTAACTATTGTACGTGATAACAATCTCTTACCGTAGGAATCTGTTTTGATCCAGGATTCCTAGCGCCGCCTCTCTGAAGATATTTCTCGTACATAAGAGAATGATTTTTCTTTTTCTTTATTTTTTCTTCAATCAAATCCACTGTTGCGTTCTTGCCTGATGTTTTCTTTGCCTCTTTGTCATCTGTTGCAGAGTCGGATGTTGAGATATTCAATTTTGATTTTTTCAATTTATGATTACACGTATCAAAATCTTTATTGGGGCTGGAACTATTTTTCTTTTCCGATTGCAATTTTCGCTTTTTAGGGGAACTTTCAATATCTTTTGCGTTACTAGTTTTACCGACCGATTTTTTAGTCTGTTTAGTTTTGGTGGTCTTATTTGCGTTATGAGAAGTTTTTAGCTCGTCATCATTTTGTTTTTCATTCTTACACCCTTCTTCTGAAAACGTTTTATTTAATTTATCTAATATTAAATACTATTTAATAAGTTAAATTTATAAACATACCTGTTTCAATTGATAAATTGAGATTTTTAGGAACATTTTTATTTTCAGTATTATTATCTTTTTTCTTCTTTGAATCATTATATGTCATTTTAGCTGGTGATGTATCCAACTGTTTCAGCACAGCATCAAAATCGCTGTCATCATGAAATTCAGATTCCTGTAAATTTCAATATTACTTGCAAAATGTTTGCTTATCTCTTAATTTTTGTTTGTAGTGTATACTTACAATTTGCTGTAATGTTTTCTTTGATTCCTCTATTCTTGTTATTGGTTTTTTCTTGAACAAATCACCAGGAGATATAGCTATGCGTGATTTTTCATTCTCATTTTTCTTACTTGCTTTGGACTGTTTAGAATTTTTCTTATCATATTCCACAACAACCTCCTCATCCTCAGAATCTAATAAGACAGAAGTTTTCTTGGTCTTTCGAGCAATCTGCTTAACAAATAATCAATGATATAATTTCTTATTATACTATATTTGTAAATAAACTATTTTTATATCTAAAAAGTATTTCTCTGTCACAGCAAATTAACAGTTGCTTCACCTTGGAACGTTTTGTGGGAGTTTTTGGTATTTCTTCATCTTCGTCAGATGAAATTATACGTCGCTTTTTAATAACGTTTTCAGGATCACTATTCTTTTTCTGAGAAGCAACTGGTGTAAAATAAGATCTTATATCCTGCAGAAACACGCAACATTGGATATATTACATGTTACGATTCTCACAATTTTGGAGCACCTTATTTGAATAATTCAATAGAATATTATTGTTTTATTACGTACCCGTGGCATTTTTATCAATATATTTAAATGTGTGTTATTACTATATACATAGATTGTGACAAGAGCTGCAAAAGTTTATCAGTGCCTGATGTACGTTGTTGACTTTCCTCGCGATTTTTCAGTTCTCTCACGTCACTAACGTCACGCCGCAAAAGTTTGGTTAGATCAGATCGGCGGTTCTTTTTAAATGCGGTTACAAGACTAAAAAAATAACACAACTTGTGTTCTAAAAACTTCCTAGACAGTCGTTGCTGGGTTATTGGCCGTGATCACAAGAAATCAACTATTGCTTATTGGCTCGTCAGAGATAGGAATGCAACACTTTACTTTATTAAGATGCCAAACAGAACAAAAAACTGTGTCCTCTAAAGAATTATTAAAAATAGGTAACACAAAGTTTTTCAGATGATTAAAACGATTAATTTCGTTTTGTAACAATAGCAAGGAGAGGAATAAGAGAACAAATTTTCGTAATGCTTTTATATTAAACAATTTATTCGCTTGCACGTCTTACGGAGAATATAAAAGATACGAATGTACGTAGAGATCTGTATGTAATCGGCTTGTTTCACACTTCCAAATCAATTATGAAAGTCCTGAGTAACATATATTAGTACACATATGTTTTTATTAATATATATATATGTGTATATATACACACGTATATATTATTAGAATTCTGCAATGTATGATGAATTTCTAATCATGTCAAGCGTCTCTTCGGAACTCGTTCCAGGAATCATTTCACTAAATGTCGTCATAAGAATCCAATTGGCGGGAACTGAAACGAGTTAAAATTATGTTGTAAGCTTGCGCGTTTAGTTTGTTCCTAATGTTCTTCCCCGTCGTCACAATTGATTAGCCAATTCCGTCACACTCAATTGTTGCCTTGAGCCCAAACTATCGTTCGTGAGTATGTCGAATTCTTCTCGATTTGCGAGCGCGTTACGCACATCGTTCGGCGTAATAGTCACAGAACTCCTGCGAAAACATAACATCGAGAACATTTGAAAACAAAACACAACGAAAACGTACAAGACACAAATTTTAGTTAACAAGTATCAAAACATTTTAGTTTTTTAACAGTAAAACAAAACAATGTGATTACCGATCTTCGTTGTTTCTTTCCAAAGATTTTGCAAACGACGATCTAGTCAGGTCCTCCACGAAACATTCGACAACCTAAAAGGAGAGATACGAGCTCGTTAGCGACAACGTCAAAATTTATTTTGTATCTTATATAGCGCGCAAAAAATTATATAAGAAAAAAAAAAATTAATCCTTACCCGCATTATCATACGACCTGCTGCGCAGTACAAAACGCCGGGAACGATCTCTTCCGGCCCGATTTTGATTCCGATATCTCGTGCGGTATCGCACACGAACTTATGGAACGGTAGCGAACTCCGTTCAAGTTCAAGCGGTATCAGTGCGCCACGGTTGTTGATCTGATTACTGTTGTTTCTCCTCTGATTAATTGAATTATCCTCGACAGTTTCAACGTCGATCTTCTCGACATCGACGTTCGTCGATGACTGATGACTAGATGACTGCTGACAGGTCTGTAACCACTTTTGCAACGCGACCGGTTCCGTGCACGTGAACGGGATTGCAGTGGACATCGTGACGCTCGGTGTTTTCTTCGAGCCGTTTGTTGCAATCGGCGCGCCATTCTTACTCGGCGTGTAGCCGTGAACTCTCGCCCAAATCACGATCTCTTTGACGCTCCACACTTGATCGGCTGGGCTCTGCTTCTTATGCAAGAAATACTTGATCATTTTCGCGCGACACCATTCAAGAGCTCGTTGCTTGCCGATGTTGTGCGCCAAGTACTCGTCCTCGCTGCGACACGCGTAGGGATGGATCTGCTTGTATTCGGGATCGCGTGCATTTTCCGTGACGATTGGCAGTCGACGAATGATAAATCGTATCAATCCCTCCGTGTCGGTGATGTTCGCGGAGTCAATCGAGCGCAGTATCGCCACGTACAGCTCCTTCTTACTCTGGATCTTGTGCTTGTCTTTTCCTAATGTAATTTTTGGTCGCTGAGTTGTCATCTTCTCTTCAGGTCTCGCGTAGAACGCAAATTCTTGTTTGTTCGACGAAACGACATTCGTCGCGATCTCGTAATTGTGGCGCGGATCGAGCGAATCCGCTATCTTCAGAATCGGAATGTTCTCATTGGCGCTCAACAGAACGCTGTTGGTGCCCTTCAGTGTGATCATCTTCTCATTCGTCTTCTGCGGTGCGTTAACTATAGCGCTTTTCTTCAAAATACTCACACCTTGAGGAACACGAATATTCAGCTTTGCGACATTGCTGTCTCTCGAAATTTTCATATTGCCGTCGAGTTTTTTCGAGTTATCACCTGATTTCACTAGTATCGACTTGTCCTGCACCAAAACTATACGTTTATTGGTAGTCGATATAAACACATTAGAAGGTATGGAGATTTTCAGAGGCTTTAAATGCAAACTGCAGGAACTGGAGGAACTCGTTGCTTTCTGCGGATTATTCAACTGATTGAGGGAAGCGTCGGACGGTTTGCAGTAGCCGTTACTTGTCATCGATGTGTCTTTAGAGAGACTTTCGGAAGTTAAACTATTCTCTGAGTTTTTATCTTGCGAAGACGCATTAAATAAATTATCTTGAACATTGTTGTCTTGGAATATCGATGCCGTGAACAAATCATTTTCCGCTGTGTTTGAAGACGCCAAATACTGGCAGGTATTGGAAGACTCAATAATACCGTTAAACCTGTTAGGTTTCTTCTCATCGCTATCATTTGCTGATAAATTAGTCGAAGGTACACATTCGCCGTTTACAACATGGTTTATAGTTATGTTTTCTTCTTTTACGACGCGATTGTGAGAGTTGGGACACTGTCTGCTAAAGTAACTGTGGTCATGGTCTACAAAGCAACGTGTTTCATCTTGATTTGAGTCATTTATATCGTCCGCACTCATATCATCAGATTCGACTTTTATACTTTTATTTTCTGATTTCTGAACTACATCCAATAATAAATTGGATGATTCGTTTACTTCCAAATCGGTCATTTCTTTCTTTATCTGAATTACTTCCGTAGAATTCGCAGAAAGCCACGACTTATCTGCGGAGTTCTTTTGACCTTCAGGAATAAACTCTGACAAACTATTATTCTCAGTGTCAAGTTGAACTTTCACAGACGCTTCATCAACGGAATGATTAATAAACTTATCGCCGTTGTTCTGTTCCACGTTACGGGACTCTCCTGTGTAAATCCACACATCGACCAGAGTTTCCGAGCCTAATGTTTGCAGCCCCGTACAGGTTTGGTCGAGTTTTAAATTGTGAATTATGTCCATAGGTTTGTTTCGAGTATTTTTAAAATGCAACTGCACTCTGAGCGGAAACTCGCCCCATCCTCGTCTGCACAGGTAAAACGGATACGACGTGACCTCGACAATGTCGTTCGGATGATAACTCGGATGCAGGAAAAATCTCACCTTACTGACGAAGGAGCTGATGTCGGCACCGTCGTCTTTTTCGCCGCGCACGTACATCGTCCACTTATGACTAAAGTTGTCCTCTCGCCAATCAAGTGGAATCCACTTAGACATGTTGCCGACAACGACGCGCTTGCAAACCTTTTGGCTGTTGCTACGCGACGGACACGTTTTCTCGGGTACGCTGCTCTTTGGCGGCACGTAACGGGGTATCTTACGAGGCTGTAATTCTTCATCCTCCAATTTTCGCTTTCTTTCTTCCGATGTGTTGCATTTGCTCGCACTTTCTTCAGATTTAACTGTGTTTGATGCAAAAGGCGCGGCATCGCATAAAAATCGGGGATCTGTGGACGTTGAAGGTACAGCATGATCTGTGTACTGATCAACCTTGGGACGTTTCCCAATTACTGATTTGATCGCAGGATGAATTCTCGTTTGCTTTTTGGTCTCCGCGGCTTCGGGAGCTTGACACTGTTTACGATTGTAAAAATTTGTTATTATGACATAGCGTAAGAGATGAAAAATCTTCAAAGCTTTGTGCAATCTTTTTTCTATCTCCAAAATTTCTTTCTCTTTTGCCTCGATCTCCTTTGAAAATTCCCTGTCCACTATTGCAGTAATTTTTTGTGCTGTAGCTTTTCTTGCTGAGAAAAAGAAAAAGATTTGTAATTTAATTACAAATTGCAAATACATTATGTTATTCGAAAAAAATTCTTGCTTTTATGTATATATTTGCGTAAAACTTAAAGATTTTAGTGGAAACATACACACGTGAATATATATATGTGTACGTGTGTAGCTGTTTAATTAGAAAAAGCTTAAATTTGTTAAGACATGCTGTTACCAAAGAGGAACATCATATGCTTACCAGTTTCTTCATAAATCTTTTGTTGAATTTGATCATTGGAGGTTGCAGAGACATAGTCAGGATCATTAAGTGATTCTTCAGAAGTATTCATTTATTGCGTTTAAGTTTTGACAAAAAAATAAGGGTCATTTCAATACAAAGAATTCTGTTTATTTGTCGGGTTTCCAGTTCTCACGTGGACGATATAACAAACACGTGTACCAGAAAAAGAGAGTACTTTTGGTTGGGGTTAAAGTTGACACCAAATAAGTTACACAAAAAACCGTGCACAACAGAATGTGACAAAAAAATACACTCAATTTTTATTTATCTGCCACTTGATAGCACTCGACAATCATCTATATGCATAAACATATTCAAATGCAAATTTTTTTTAATACAAATGCGGAACGCAAGAGGTTAGAGTCGTTCTTTATTCGACTCTATTTGTTAAGAACAATCGTAACACTCACGGACGTGGCGTGTCTATTCAGAACAAAAATGTCATACTTGTCCGCGAGAACCGTGCAACGTACATATCTGTCGAAATATCAGAACAAATCCCACTGCAAGATGCAACATTCTGTAATCCGACCACAGTTTGTGCAGATGGTAATGTCGCGTGTAGCGCCATATTGCATACCGCTCCGCATTAGAAAAGAGAGTGCGTTTAAATTTAGACAAGAGCGGGAGAGATGTTGCATCGATTATCGATCGTTTATCGATTCGATTTTTTTAGTCAAGAAATCGATTATTGCACATCGATGTTTGTTTGTAACTTGAATTACTTTCTATCAATAATGTTATTCTTTGACGAGAATTATTATTGAACATTTTGCAATACAATTCATACACAGAAAAACATTCTCTACGAAAGTAAGATTATTATTACGCACGATATTAATCTGTAACAGTTAATATATCAATAACTGAACTATAATAATGTCTGTAGGCCGATTTTTGGCAATCGTTTGATACATATATCAAAGTGTACCAAATTATAGTTGTATATACATAGTAATTATATTTTGATACACTTTGGTATATGTACCATACGATTGCCAAAAATCGCCTTATATATATATAATTTAAATATATTTAGTAACTTAATTTTATAGATACTTTATTATATAAAACTTCAAATATTTTTTCTTTGCACATGTGCAACATTTTAAATACCTATATTGATATATGTATACTTTTACTATGTAATTCTGTCAACTTAATATTTTTATATAGTTTAGTGTAAATCGCAGCGGGATATTCCGTATTGGCATAATCCGCGGTTTTTCTTTTATCACAAACCATTTCCTCATCGGACGGAATAAGATCTTTGATAAAATCTGAAAACTTGTCAAAAGAACAGAGCGTATCGCAACCTGGAATTGTGAGCTCATCGATAACCGGTGGAATTCCTCGATAATGTAAAATCTAAAATAGTATGTTCAATATATAAAATTGGGATGATTGATAAAGTCGTCACAAGTGGCAAATAAAAGTAATTTAAATAGTAAAAACTTAGAGATATGTCACATTTGTTAGAGAGAATAAATTACCTTCACATAATATTGATTGTCTTGTTGTAATAATTCTAAGATAACTGCACTAGAAAATTCAGGTACATGAGGCTTGTACACGTTAAACGCGATCAACTGCTTTGCAATGTTGGTCTCGTGTCCGCTGTATAAATAAATCTTTGTCTTTGAGGTCGAATTTTGCACAGCTTTCATATTGTCAAACATGGCACGAATTATTGGACCTAAAACAGAGTAAACATTTTTTATTGTAACGAGAAGCGAGTGTTATAGAAATTTAAATTTCCAAATTTATGACTTGCCAGCATTCAGTCTCTTTAATAATGGATTGTAACTGTAAAGATTGTATGTCAGAACAATCGCGTCAAACAATTGACCATTAGGATAATAGTCATATGCCCATTTGGGAAGAGTCAAATTTAGATACGAATACGTTACGAAAGTATGATACAAATAGTACCAATCTTGAGGCCTGCTCATGATTTTGCCGGTCAATTCTGTCAAATTTTTTGACATTTCGTCAAACTGCGACAGAATCTTGCGCGTTTCAGGCAACTCTAGTACTCGATCTAATTCATTGAGAAGCCTAAAAGTGATCTTAGATTGTATTGCGCCTCTCGGAAATGTGTGTATTTTTCTTTACATACTTACAAAATAGTTTTCAAGTTTATTCTTCATGTATTTTAATTTATATATCTACATTTATATAATTATCTTTGTTTTATTATTATTATTCTTTATAACTAATTTATTATTTTATTAATTATACACAGTTTACTTACTTCGGACACTCATCGGACAAGAAGAAATTATCGTTGACACGTGATATATACGTCGTCGGAATAGGTTGCCAAAGTATGTTGTCATTCCAGCGTTGTCGATCGTTTGGCGGAAATAAACCGGCGAGAACAAGTTGCAAAGACGCCTTTGTTCTGTCGTAATCAGAGCTGTGGCCTACGACAATTTTCGGTATATACATGTCGCCCAAAAACTTCTTGTATCTATCATGTAAAATTGTTCCTAATTTATATTCACGTTGTTTTCCTTCCTGAAAAAAATTTCATTAATTAACTGTCAGAATATAAAATTACTATTTTATTTATAGAGAGAACAGTTAAAATTTTGCTGTAATAAAATTGTTAATTAGTCCTTTTCAGTGTTTTTTTTAAATAGATAAAATAAATATTCTGACCATTTTAATTAAGTAGAACATAATTGAGTCAGTAGCATAATAAAAATAACAACATCTGTCTTTTGTCGTTGGACGAAAAACAGATAACAGAGATTTAACTGAGTCAGTAATATATATAAAACAACAATGTACATAAGTCTAAACCGATTTCTAGATATCTTCTCTTACAAAGACACATCGAAGCAGGAATAAAGGAAGAAGGGAGAGGAAACCACGAAACATATATATAGTCGATCTCTGAGAAGATCAGCTATCAATTCCTCACGAGTTTCACGCTGAATCGGTTGATTGTAACGTGCAATTATGAAACACAGGGTCCTATATACGTTTTTATTTCTGCTAAATTTGTTTGTATTTTCAGAATGCAATTTTCAAGTCGAACTAGTGCAAGTAGTAAGTAAAACACGCTTTAAATTTTTATTCGCGATATTATAGTAAAATTTCTACAAAAATTGATACATTTTTAATTAATGTGTGTACAATGAAATAAAATTTATTAGCTGGGTGTGTGGTGAGGTGTCCTCTGATTCGTTAACAATAAAATTTAAATTTATTTTCATGTATATTGATATTTTTATTATTACATATCATTATTTGAGAATTCTAATTAGAATTTAAATTTTATTGTTAACGAAAATGAATTTAAATTTTAATGCAAAACACCTTGCAATCGGTTCGACAAACCAGTTACTCTACTTGAATTTAAAATTTATCAGTTAATGTATATATATATGATCTCATATATAATTCCAGCTTATGAGACACGGAGAACGAACACCATCACTTGACGAAATAAAAATGTATCCCAATGACCGCTATAATGTTTCCACTTATGAACCGTGGGGACTTGGCCAGTTGACTAATGTGAGTACATATATGTATATTGATATTTTTATTATTACATATCATTATTTGAGAATTCTAATTCACAGAAAATCATACGGATATAAATCATACGGATATGAATTATACGCTATGAGACCTTGAATGACTTCTGTATATATCGATATAAACAGTATTGCATGTTTATATGTACGATATATACATCATACAATATATATTCACATGTTCGATATATACAGTATTACATGTTTATATATAAGTGATAAAAACAGCTTTTATGTTTCTTTCAGCAAGGAAAACATACAGAATATCAACTCGGACAAATATTAAGGCAACGTTACGACAAGTTATTAGGGTCGATTTATTATCCGGAAGATATATATGCTTTTAGTACAAACATTGACCGTACAAAAACGTCTCTAAATCTGATGCTGGCGGGTTTATATCCTCCAACTTCAGTGCAAATGTGGAATCCGAATTTAGCGTGGTTTCCTATTCCTACGCATTACGCGCCTATGGAAAGTAATAATCTATTAAAATATTTCGTCTGTCCAAAGTATGTGCGTGTGTTAGTTTAGTTTAAGTACAAACTTTATATTATAAATTTTATTGAAAAAAATTGGTTTTAATATCGGTTTTATTTATGTTTTTTTTAGATATAATGCAATTTTAAAAGATGTTTTTGGCTCACAAGAAGTTCTTGATAAAATTGCAGCTTATACAGATTTTTTCAATTTCTTAAGCAACAAAACTGGAACAAACGTCACAAATTTGTCAAACGTTAAAGCTATTTATCAATTATTAACGGCACAGGTATGTAAGACAAATGTTTATTATTACATATGTATATATATTAAAAGGAAAGAATATTCTGCATATCAATTTATTGGCTCAAGTTTGTTTTAAAAAAATGTTAAATCTCTGAAATGTTACAAAATATATTTGATCTCAAATAAAAAAAATCTTATGTACAGAATACGGATTTAAAGTTTACATTAAAATAAAAAATAAAAAATAATACTCTGATAAGTCAATTTACATATACATATACATATGTAAGTGAATCTTTTCAGTAAATAATAGTTATTTAATATCGTGTGTATATGACGTTTGTTCTTTATTGTAGAAAGCCATGAATCTAACTATGCCGGAGTGGTACAATGACAAAATAGATCAGCAATTGGAAAATTGTTTTGCATTATTATGCGATATTCAATCGTACACGACTGAATTAAAACGATTCAATGGCGGTATGATAATCAAAATGTTCATTGACAATATAGTAAATTTCACAAATCGTACACGTAAAATGTATGTGTACGCCGGTCACGACGTCAATATCGGATTTTTTCTCAGAGCTCATAATATCAGCGGGGTGAGAATAAATTACGGATCAACAATCATATTCGAGACGTTGCGGGATAAAAGCAGTAAACTTTATATCAGGGTAATTGTTGTTTACGCATCATAATCTATAACAGTTGATAAAATTGAAATAGAGTGTCTTGGCAGAAATTATAAGTATTTAATATGTGATACGCATAAAATTAAGAATTTACTTAAATGTTTTGCACTTGTTTCAGATTCTTTTGTTGAATGGTCCTAAAGAACAAATAGTGACTCTTAAACTGGCCAAATGTGATAACATTTGTCCTTTAGAACTTTATAAAAAACTCATTCAAGATGTAATACCTTCAAAAGCAGAAAGTGACTGTCCGAACGTTTTACGTTTAAACTATACATATAACTTTACAATTTAACTATAGACTAAATTTTTTTCACGATAGTGAAAAGTGTTTATTAATATTAAATGTATAATATTAATATTAAATATTCTACGATATTAATATTTAATGTAAAATATTAATTAATAAATAAATACTATGTTATTTATAAAACTTAATAATTATTTTTTTATTTAAATTAAATTTAACTTACAATAGTTAGCTGTCCTAATCCTTCCGGATAGAAAGTATGATTCAAATGGGGATCCTTCGGATATCTTTCGTATTTTTCGTCAGGTGTTCGATCACCATGTCTGAAAATCTGCCAAATAAATAAAATAAGTAAAAATAATTATTGACGATCATGGATTACATAATTTAGATAACACAATTTGTTTTACAAAGTTTGATTGAAATATTTATTTTAATATTTTAATTTTTATTATTTTATTGCAACACACACGCACAACGATATTTTATTATACCTACCACATTCACTAACTTCAGTTCGGGTTGCGCAGTTAAGGTCGAAATTACATTTAAACCGAAAATTATTGACAGATAACTGATGAGAACGTTAGTCAAGACCATGTTGCAGCCACCTAATCTGAAAATGTAATGTCGTCTAGATTTAGAAGTATGCCTGTTTCTTAATGATAAGTATCGCGATTGCGATAAAAGTGATATGAAGAAGCTTAATTAAACAATATTAAAAATAGGTAGGCAACAATCATGTTCCTTTGTTTGTATGATGGATGTATTATAGAATTATCGCAACAAATAATTCTAGTAATGTAAAAATAAAATAAAAATGATAAACTAATCTTACACAATAATAACAAAGATACAATTATTAAAATATTTTCAAAAATAAATATTTACTTACATAAGCGCGCTAGCAAGAAGTTGTACTTTTGTTGTTAAAGAACTTTAAAGAACTGTTGTTAAAAACCTGTAGCAAATACTCAGCGAATTAATCTATATATATATACTTGATATAGTGGCAAATAGATATGGTGGACTGAACACATTCACTATCGCTCGTAAAATATGTATAAAATTTTGACGTCTGGTAAACTAGTTCTATCCAGTAAGATTATCACTACTGAATTTTACAAAAGTAAAAGACTTAAAATAAATATGACTGAGATTGTTTTCTTTGTGTATTTTGTATACAAAATAAAATTGATTTCAATTTCTCAAAAATCAGTGTACTTCTGTGGAAATTTTTTTGCTTTTAATACACATTTTATTGTTTACAATAAATCTACTTATTCTTAAGTACATACGCATACATAATACAAATGTTTAACGTGACAATTTAATAAATAAATATGAAATGATTCTGTGTCTCTGTAAAAAAAATGTATCTCTGTAAAAAAACGCTAACATTAAAAACTAAATTACCCTTGCAGTTTTTATAACAAACTTTGGTCTCGCATAACGTGTCATATATGGTTAAGAGTGTGTTATTGCAGTCTTTCGTTAACTACTGTTCCAATCGCGTTGGACATAATGTCCCGCAAACCGGCAGGATATTCCGTGCCAGCGTAATTCGGAGTCTGTCTCTTGTCACAAATCATTTCCTTGTCGATCGGTATTAAGTCCTCGATCAGATCCATATACTTGTCGAAGGGGCAGAGTATGTCGCAGCCCGGGATTTTAAGTTCCTGGATGTTTGGCGGAATGCCTTGATAATATAAAAGCTGAAAATTCAAACGCAAACACACAAATCATTCATCCGTATGTAATTTTCGCTCTTAAATATCGTAATTGATACAGTGTTGAAGAACAGAAACGTATTTCCAATAAATAATGAAATGTCGAATATTTCTTAAAGTTTATTTGCTAAACATCAACGTCTAGAATTCACTTCTGCAGGCCGTCATATTTGTCGTTGTCCCAGTAAGAGAATAAGTGTTCAGTGTTTTTTGTAATCAAGTATCGATACACTATACTCACCTTCACGTAATGTTCTCCCTTGATCTCATGCAATTCTAGAATAATCGCGCTGGAATATTCAGGTATGTGCGGTTTGTATACTCCAAACGCGTGCAACAGCGACGCGATATTGGTTTCGTGACCGCTGTACAAGTACATCTTTGTATTCGGGAAAGCTAAGTTCTGCGCGGTTATCATGTTGTCCGTCATAGCGCGAATCAGTGGACCTGAAGCAGAGCAAGCGTATCGTCGTTCAAAATATAATGACGTTATGCAAACTTCTAACACTATATTCTTCAATGATTTTAATGGGAATTTAATTTAGTTTAGTTGAGACGGATCAAAATTTCAATGTGTACGTAGAACGCAACTCACCGGAATACAGTCTTCTTAATAAAGGAGTAAAATTGGTAATTTCGTATTCGGCCACAATCCCGTCGAATAATCCGCCATATGGAAAATAGTCGTATGCCCATTCGGGAAGAGGCAGTCCTAAGCTAGACTCCGCCATGAAAGTTTGATAAAGAAAATACAGGTCGACGAGTCTCTCTATTTTCTTACCGGTCAGCTTCGTCAGATTTCTCATCAAACCCGCGAATTGATTGATTTTCGTTTTCGCCGCGGGTGAATTTAACACTCGATTATACTCGTCGATGTACCTGTGGAAAAATCTCTTGAATGTGAAGAACTGATCCTCTCGTACGTAACTTTTTGAGAAAATATTTTGCATTTTCCTGATTTTCTTTCACGACGCACTTCTAGTAAGCACTCTTCTTTTGTTTTTAATTTATTTATTAAAATTGTTATATTTACTGCGGACACTCGTCGGCCAAGATAAGATTATCATCGACACGTGATAAATACGACGTAGGGATCGGTTGCCAATGTAAAAGCCGATTCCATCGTTGAACGCTTCGCGGTGGGAACAGGCCGGCGAGAACCAGTTGCAGGGACATCTTCGTTCTGTCGTAATCGGAGCTGCGAGCCACAACGAGATTCGGTCTGTATATACCTCCCAGAAAATCGTTATATCTGTCGCGCAAAACTTGTCCTAATTTATATTCCCGTCTCTTGCCCTCCTGCAAACAAAATTCATTAAATATTATTGATTTGTTGTTTGCGTATTTCATCAAAGTGCGTTAGTCTCATTTATGTAAAAAATTAAATTTTACAAATATTAATTTTATATTCTTTTTCTTTCAAAGTGTGTTGTTAATTTAAATTAATAAAATTAAATTAATAAAACATTAACACTCACAGTGGTCAATTGTCCTAATCCTGTCGGATAGAAGGAGTAGTTTATATACGGATCGGTCGGAAACATTTCGCGACCATTGTTGTCGGGTGTACGGTCGCCATGTCTGAATACCTGAAAAAATGAATATAAATGACAAAAAATAATTTAGAAACTAATTAGAACTAGAGTTCATAAATTTTTAATTGTTGTCTTAGGAGGATTCTCTAGAGAGTCAAATTTTAAGTTATTTTTAACCGCGTGCAAATTGAAATTTTAGTACTCTGAATTGGAATATCCTCTTGAGTTGATAATCAATGATATTTAATTTTACACTTACCACATTTACTAATTTAAGTTCAAATTGTGCACTGACGAACAAAATCGCGTTTAAACTGATAATGACAGTAATTGTCAGACAATTACCAAAATTAACGAACAAAACCATTTTTGTGCATATACATATATAAGAAATATCTCAAAAATATGTAATAGTATTAGAGACAAAAAGCGTTTCTTCTATAGCGACTGATGTCAATTATTTTATATTAGATGTGACTTGATTGAGAGGATCAAAGTGTCGACTGCACACTTTAATCGAAAACTGATTTTTCCCAAGACACGCTAAAGGCTTTTAAGGTGCATACAGTAGCCCACTCCACTAGGTTCTATTTCCTGTCAGACGTCATATGGTGGACGTCATTTCGTAAACGCGTGGATTCGCTAATCAAGGAAATGTCAGACCGCACGGAATCGCGGAAGAATCTCGCCGAAGAAGAACATCTCAGGACTTCCCTATCAAGACTTTGCCGCGAATTAATAATTGCGTGACGATAATTGCAAACCGCTCGCCGGCAATTTACGTAGAAATCTAACAAGCGTTCTAAGAATACAGAATATAAATGGAATGCCGAAACACATTGCAATTCTGCAACTATGTATTATTACGATATTATTCAAAATCTTTCAATTATGCAAAAATTCGAAAATAGATAAACAAAGAAAAAGATAGAATAAAAAAGTTGCTTACATGTAAATCAAACAACATATTTCATATTATATATTTCATATAAACAGTCGAAACTTTATAATATATGCGAAGAAGAGAAATAAATGTTTTATATACTTACATAATGCTCGATTCTATTGCACAAAAAAACCACTTGATGTGTATAATTTTTTGTGAAAAACAAACGCGCATATCTAACATCATTAACACACTTTGTATAGAATTGCTGAGGTGCGTGATAATCATCGTATACAATAATTATACAGTTGTGATTGTACAGTTGCATAGTGATTATTGTTATCAGATGTATAACAAGAAAAAAAATTGCTTCTTTGAGAAAAAAATTTTCTCATATGTGCGAACAAATTCTATACCTAGTTTTACATGTAATATCGAGACGATCTCGTGTATAATTGTATTTAATCATGTGTCACCAGATATAGAATTTGTTTGTATAGTTTTTTTCGCGCGTAAGACGCATCGCAAAGAACTCGATTAGAGAAAATAGCTTTTGCAATTCTTTAAATATCTAAGTTCAGCACAATACTTTTGCGATGTACCTATAACATGCAGAATGCACTTTCAAAATCGCATTCGCTAATCCAAGAATAAGTCACAGACCGCAATGCCTCAAAGGATGCGAATAACGATATTCGCGTGATTCGCGAACTAAGCCACACAAGAGAAAATATAAATTCCTGCAGTTTTTTAAGTATTTATATAACATGTTTTCCACAGTTAGGATTAGATGTAAGATAGTGATAAGTTAAATTAGCATGTAAGTACGACAGTGTGTACGTAGATGTAATATAGAGATAAATTGTAAAGTTGCATCTATATAAAGAAAAACAACAAAGCGTAATCTAATCTATAATGTACCTTCAGACTCCTAATTCAACTAAATGTGAGAATTAGGAATATTTGAATTGGGGATAACCGATGATTTTCTCGGTGATTCCGAGACGCTTTTCCGGCTTTTCCGGCTTTTCCCACTCTGCTGACGATTTCGTTTAAACAGGTAGCGCTATTATCTGTAATGAGATGTTATACAACATTCGTGTAGTTTACTCTTGAAATTAAGATTCTTAGATTCTTAGATTGGTCATCTATCGAATGTCAAATAATTTTGTTACTTTATTATCGATATCTTCAATCAGACTCACAATATAGAAAATTATCTTCTATTTCTTTTATTTACATGTTTTTTTCTTATTCTCCGCGTAATATCAAAGAGATAATAAAATATAATTTCTGCGCGATACTAAAATTAATTATTGATCTCTAAGAGATAACATTTGAAGAATCAATCTGATTTCATGAGATATAATTTATATAATAAAATAAACTGTTTTATCACATCCACAGATTATTGTTGCCACTTGGCGATAACAATCTGTAATTAAAAAACGCAAGATAAAAGAACAAATTAAATAAACACGTTTGATAATTTTGCAAATGTGCTCTACTTTCATCGCAAGATTTTCACGATCGTATTTTTTAATACCAAATTTTATCTCTCAACACAGATCTTATCTACATCTTCGTATTAGCTTTCGCAAACTAAGAAATTATCTTTAGCACGCGGCCAATGTGTATCGTCGTTGTCGATCACACTTCTTGCGTACTGTAAACAGTGTAAACACGTCACAAATATATTGACGTAATGTCAATATGCACATTGAAAAACATGTAACAAATAGGTGTACAAGTGAGAAGCGCTAGAATCTGATAAAATGAAGAACTTCACGTACTTCATACATATGCACGTCAGAATGAATAATTATTAAGATTTGAGGGAGCAGCATAATATTTTATCGCAGCAAAGTGTAAAACAACTTTATTTTATGTATTTTAATAAACATAAATACATACTTGACACTAGAACTATCATTGAGAGAAAAAATTCTCTTCTCAAAATGCATCTCGAATTTAAGTTTATCAGACGTAAAATGTTTTTTTTTTGTTTTTTTTTGTTTTTTGGTTTCTTCATACTCCTGGAGAATATCGCGGCAGCTGATCTTGTTCTTGCGGATGTGTGGACGGAACAAGGAAAACCCTTATCTACCACGAGTTAGCATACCGCAGAAACGTGATATTTTCACACACCATCCGCACCATCTCTAATTGTTTTACCTACTATTTTACGAGTAGATAATCAACAAAACAAAAACAAATCGTCGAAAAACAATAAGAACTAAAAGAGTAAGTGTGTCTTATATTTTAACAAGAAAGAAAGAGATAATTTTTTGTAATGAGTTTTTATTGCTGATAATACGCGATTATGTCTGTGACCAATTATTTACCGGCGCGTTTTAACGGCCTCGTAAACTCATGATAAATTTCGAACTACTTCGAGTGTTAATTATTATATGAGGTATCGTCTTGTCTCGTGTGTTTACGAACACTAATCCCTCGCGTACATCACACTCCGTCGCTGTTAAGAAGCAATTTGATGCTTCGTATCTGTCCTTGCTGTGTGTGTCTTTTCTCTAGTCAATCTTCTCTATCGCGATGACGATTAGCGAGTATAGTGGCGACGCTGCATATTAAACGTTTTACTTAGTTACGTTTCAAGAGCAAAGAGACATTAGTAAAATTATGGACGGAAAACTATACTTTGCCTGTATCGCGTTCGTGTTCTGCATTTGCGCAGTTCCTAGTTTAGGAATATCGGAACTAAAATTGGTGCATGTCGTAAGTACACGTCTTATCTCTCGAATGTTAAAACGTATATACATAGCCAAAAGCCATATTGACAGCGATACGATATATTACAGTTATTCGCGCATAAATTGTACGCGCCAGAGCAAGACGATGTGGAAAAGAACGAGACAAGTATTCCGCAAATCTTATCGTACGAGCACTTTATTTCCGTCGAGACTACCATGCCGGAAGTAATATCTCAATTCTCTCTACACGTACATTTTATAGTCGAGTAATTTGTTGATAAAAATGTCACGATATTTTTACAATGTCAACGTGTGTCGTTTGTTATTAGCATTAATATATTAACACTTATTGTTTACTGGAAAAATTATAGTCTATTATATTCCAGTATATTTAAATTTTATACATACATTGTAACATGTAAATCTTATAATTGCGCAGAGCGCGTATCTCAACTTATACAATCTCGGCGTTTATTTGCGTGAGACGTACAACGAATTTCTAGGCGACACGTACATGTCGAAAACGGTAAAGACACGCACAACCGAATTCGTTCCATCGATATTATCGTCCCAGCTTGTAAACGCCGGTTTGTGGCCACCCTTGGGGAATCAAACGTGGAACGAGAATCTTAACTGGCAGCCTATACCGAGTGGTTAGTAAAAAAAAAAAAAAAAAATCGATAAATAGTTTCTCTTTAAATCTAACAATAAATTCTCTCTTTCTATTTTAATTAAAAGAAATCTTACGTTTCAAAGATTTACTTTTGTTTTCTTGCACAAACCCACGACAAATTTTTGCAGACTATCTGGAGCTGAAGGAAGACACGTTGCTGCTCGGTTCTCTATGTCCGAAATTTATTTCACAGATGAACGAAGTGTTGCAAACGGATGAAATGCGAAAAACGATGGCACCGTATCAATCTCTGTTTGATCATCTGTCTCGTTACACTAAAAGGAACATCAGCACGCCGTCAGATGTGGCCGCTCTGTACGCTACGTTAGAAACAATGGTGAGTGTAAGATAATTTTTATAAATTTTTCTCACAGAGAGAGAAAGCTGATGGAAATCATTCTGTTATATTAAAAAATATATGTATAGTATTTTTTCTCTCTCTCTCCGAGTAATAATCCATTATATTTGATCAGGCTGATCGAAAGAAGATATTACCTCATTGGGCAAACGACGTGTTTCCCGACGGTACAATGTCCAACGTCACCTTGCTGGAATACGATCTTCTTTCGGCAACTCCTTTGCAGCGGCAGCTGAACGGCGGGACTCTCTTAGCCGAAATTATCGGCAATTCGTTGAAGTATGAAAGGGGCGATATATCGAGGGAACGAAAGATGATGCTGTATAGCGGTGACGCGAGAAATATCGTCGGAGTTTTGAAAAATCTCGATTTCTGGTCGCCTCACATACCCGAAGAGGCAGCTGCGTTAATCTTCGAGCTACATCTCGACAACGACACAGGCGCTTATGGAATGAAAGTAAATCTCGTTTTATATTTTCTGTCTGTTATAGTGTTATTTTATTTCTTTTTTTTAAGCAACTTGTAATTATATATATTTGATACATTACGTTTAGAACATCGTACGTTTCTTCTAAAATTAAATTTTACAAATACCGCAATTGTTTTAGACTAACTATTACACCGGCGTTGACGGTACAACAATTTCTCTGTTACTGCCAAACTGTCATCGCACAGAAATATGTCCATTGCAAACTTTGATACACAATACTTTTGCCACTATACCAGAAAATCCGCATTCTCTGTGCGGATGGTTCGTCGAAGCTGCAATTCAAACAGAAACTCAATCAGAAGAAAGCAAACCATCCGATTCTTCAAACAACAGTGGATCTACTTTGCATCGCGAAACCAATGTAATGTTTACTTTGATGTTAATCTATTTCACCGCTCGTAGCTCTTTTCTAAGATAGTAAAGAAAAACATTTGTAATCGAAAGTACAATACAACTTCAATATATAAAATTATATCAAAATGATAATTTTTTGTTATTTTATAAATATTAAAAAAGATTATGAATTATATTAAAAGTGTTAATGCGCAAAATAGCGAGTGAGAATAGAAATTGTCGGCGAACACAACGAATACGCTTGCTCCAAAATAAGGCGATTTCGCAACGCTTCTGCAAAATCTTTCAGAGCGTTCGACCATTGTTTCTCGACAACGTTGAGATTCAACTCAGCGTTTTCAAGCTCCTTTTCCACGTAGCGCAGTTTCCAGAGATCCGCGACGTGAGATATCGCGTTTCTCGCGGATCGAGATTTTTCAATGCTCGGTATAATCGTGCGATATTTCTGCAGAGCAACGTCCAGCGCGTACAGCACGAGACGCAACTTATTTCTCATCGTATGCGTATTTTGATCAATTTCCGATGTGCCGCGCATAGATTGAAACCATGTCAATTTCGTTATCAAGTGATCGATCACCTTGACGCATATCGGTAACGAGTTACACAGTTCCAGAATTATTTGTATACGATATATCCACGTGGATGTCTTAAAAGAAAATAAAAATATTGCTTATAATATTTGAAATTATGTGTATTGATGTAACACATGAAATTAACGTTAATTAAAATTAACGTAAAGTTTAATTTATAGCAAGATTCTTATAACGTCATCTTGTTCCTTGTGGGAACTATTTATCTTTTGAAAAGAACCTCAATATACGTACCTTATTTTGCTGCACGTGCGTAACCATTTCGTCCACAGTTTTTATTATTGATGTTACGATTTTCTTTCCGCATACGTCTGGCTTCTTTTCCGTTCTGAAAATGTCGGATATATTCAGCACCGCGGTCACGGCTTCTCTTTCCAACGTATCTTTCCAGCGTCTCCGCGTTGCGTATTCCTCCGCCGTTCTTTCGTTGCGAAGCGTCGAGAGAATCACATCGAGCGATTCAAAGAGCACGCGATCCAACGCGTTCAGCGATTCCAACGTGAAGTTCAGCCAGTTGGTAGAAATTGTTTGCTTTTCCTCGTTTTCCTCTTCCTTCTTTTCTTTTTTCGAAATTTTCTTTTTCTTACAAGACTCAATTTTCGAATTTTGTTCTACACAAGACGTACAGATTTTTGTTTTGCGCACTCGCAAGTTGTAGCTATGTTCGCTATTGATGTGCTTGTTTTTTATTACGCGCTTCCTGTTTGTTGCTGCAACGTCAAGTGTGTCGACCGCACCCGTATGCGTATCCTTCTGCGTGTCTTTGAACTCAAGACATGAACCATTCTCGTTCAAAGTATCTGCCATTTGAATTTGATCGGTTTTAACGTTGCTGTTGTTACTCCTCTCCCAAAATGTCTTCGAGAAAATCAGAGAACTGCGATGTACTTGAGTTTGGAGTATATTCGATGTACTGTACGCGCTATCGTTTCCCGAGTTTCGAAATTCCAAGTCGTCGTAGACGTTCGAAAGCGAAAAAATTACAGAAGCGTTCGACGTTGGAGTAAGATCGAAATTACCGTTCTGTTGCTTCCAGAACGATGTATCGATATTTAGAGATGCAGCAGGTTCGGTTATAACGAGACTTTTGTCAGACGGAGATTTGTCACTTAAATCGCATCCGTTAGCCGGACTTTCAAACATATCGGGGCTTGCGAGCGCATCGGCGCTCTCGAATATATCGGGACTTGTATTAGTTTCTGAAATCACGCGGGATTTTGTTGAAAAATCTCCTTTTTCGACTCTCTCTGAGGCATAGCCGTTCCATCTTTGCTGCGTCAAAAATTCCGTATCTTCTTTTGAATTGTACGTCGCGAATTCCAACGTCTTCTGTGAATTCGTAGGTGTGATACCCGACAGACCGGATATGTTCAAAAAATCTGACGCGTTAGGAGTATTCTTGTCTTTTGAAAGATCTTCGCGTACAGGAGATTTCGGTCGTTCGTTGCGAACGTCAGTCTTGATACGTTCATCTTCGGTGTGATTATCGCGCGTACAGCATTTTCTTAATATCTCTTGCAATCGTTCGACGGATATCGCAGACGTGCAAGAGGCGGCGGATTTTAATAGAACTATAGCTTGAACGAAACTCAATTCGGACTCGCACCGATTTACAAAATCGGACGCGTTCTCGCGAAATGACTCGAACAGATTCCGCGGTGTTTCTAAGAAATGCACGCAACGGTAACACTTGTTGTTGTATGCAACGTTCTCGTCGCGATTCTCGTTCGCGTTCGATTGGACGCAATCAGTGTTCGCGAACGCGTGTTCTTCGTTTTCAGCATGACGCGCCGTGCGATCTACACAATAAACATGTATATTAATATTTTTCTATAATTTTTTAAACGAATTAACGACGCGTACATATTTCATAATAGAGAAAAACTTTGTTTTTTTTTTTTCTAAACTCACTTGAATTTGTATCGTTGTTTATTTTACACGTATTTTTATGCGGTATTATTGCTTGTTGCAACGCACGGAGAATCTTCTGTCTCTCTCTTTTGCGAATCTGATTTTCCGAAACTTTGCATTTCTGTAACGTTTAAAAACAAACTAAAATGGAAATCATATCAATGAGAAAACGCATCGTACCAGACGTATTGCGAATATTTACCGTTGTTCTTTTAGTTAGTGTTTCAGTTTGATTTTTCAACTTGCTTTTTGCCATTTTTCTTTCTTGCGCGTTCGATATCGATTCTAATAAGACAAATAAACCTGCAATTTTTTATCACTTATTTTATTTGCGCTTTTGCTCAGATATATTTTAATATCTATGTACAGATACTTGTAATGTCCAATACTTGCGGTTTTCTATCTTGTTTTTACTACCTAAAATCTCTTATCGGGAAAACGATGTGTGTAAAATCCGCTGGTATCTAAAATCACACAAATTCGAATTTCAAGATCGTCTTACATTAAATGCAAGCAGCCAATTGCAAGCAGGAGTAAAGATAAAATGATGCTTTGTAACATTTGTGTGGCAGTTGATTGGTCGCAGCAGAGAGAAGACCATAGACCTAAGTATATACTTAGATCCAGCATGCATGCTTTGGCAGAACGAACAAAGAGGCAAACATAGAGGAAGTTTCTCTCTTTGTCTCCTGCGCAGGTAGAATCCTATTTGCCTATAATGCAACGTCATGTTTGATGCAGTTTGACGTCAGTCCGTCGAACATTGAACTGCACATGCGCGAAATAAAACGAAATTTGGTATAGTTTCTTATGAAATGATGATAGTTTCTTATGAATTGATTATGACCAATCGGACCCTGTTTTATTACTGGCAGTACTGAAAATTTATAGGTTCACGTAACATAATCCTATAAATGTTTCAGGGGACCTTGATCGATTGGTCGAACGCGTTCGTACGTTCCACTTCTCGCTTCGAACCGCATCAAACTTCACGTGTCTCAATTGCGTGACCGGTAGAGTAGAAGTTCAAGTTGCGAGGTTAAACGCGGTTGAACGCGATTGATGGCCGTGCAGTTTCACTGGCGAACGGAGGTTGATGCAAGAATTCTGCTTCTGTCGTTGCAATTATATAGTCTTGAATTTTTAAAATGGACGCGTTAGGGACGGGAAATTTGAGCGGTTCGCAGCGGGACGAGCTGATGCAGCAAGTGAAACAACAGATAGCCGTGGCCAATGCTCAGGAACTGCTTACGGTACCCGATATGTGCACTATTATTGGCCCCGGCTGACTGAATGTTCATGTTTTTTATGCGTATTTACAGAAAATGACGGAAAAATGCTTCAAAAAGTGCATAGGCAAGCCAGGCACCTCACTGGACAGTTCTGAACAGGCAAGTGTTGTTACATCAAGTGTAATGTAACCTCTAGTTATTTTATGATAAAGTACTTTGAATTGTAAATTTAAAAATTTTCAAATCTTCAGATTAACTTTGTTACATTGGAGAAAAAAGCTTGCTTTCTGCCTACTTCTTGTTAGCTCACTTTAATGTCACTGATCTGTCGTTTATATTTTGATAAATTTAACTATGATCTGATCAAGATTTTGCTTACAGAAATGCATAGCCATGTGCATGGATCGATACATGGACTCCTTCAATCTTGTATCCAAAACATACAGTGAGAGACTCCAAAGAGAACGTAACAGAATGTAAATACTGAAGTTCATGGAAATATATTGTTATATTTGTTATTCTCACACATTGTAATTTAATAGCACAGATTCCTATAGTGTTCATTAGTTGTACAAATGCAGTTTTATCATATAAAACATGAAACACAAATCATTTCAAGTGGAATAAACTTCTGTACAGTATTTTTACTTTAATACTTAACAAAATCATGTGATAACTACTGTATGATACATTTAAAATATATGTATAATGTTGAATATTAAAATGAAGCTTGATTATATTTAGAGCGCCGTTTAATTTTACATATATAAAAAATATATAAATATGTACATATTATATATATTTTATTATATACACAATTATTTAAAATCATAAAGTCTATACTGGAATAAATAACATTTGTACAGGGATATGATGCTAAAAGAGTAGGCAACACTTGCAAAAGAGAAAAATCTTTATAAAATAAATAACATATACATGTGAAAATGCATATTACATCATACTTGAAAATCATAAATAACAGATGATCCATAAAATCCACAATTCCACAGTATTTTTATTTGTGCATCTTCTATAATTATTTCATATGTACTAAAAGGCACAATTTATAGCTACCAATGTTTCAACGTGGTTACAAAATCATTATCCGCAACCATACGAGAAGTACTGTAAAGTAGGATATTATTGGTGCTTTGTTCTGTGAAATTTTAAACTCTGTGTGTGTGTATATATATATATATATATGTATGTGTTTTATGTGGATTATGAATATCTATAAAACAGCTAACTAGCCTGAAAAAACTTTAAGTTCGTTACTTCATGAAACATGCATCTTACCACTGTGTTTGTATATCATATTTAGTAACAACCGCAATATGATGTTTAAAGAGATAAATTCTTTATATAAAAAAAGGAGAAAAATTTATGCATAAGCATGTGTAACGTTTGGTCTATATACAGATAGATGAAATTTTTTCGTTTACCTAAAATTGCCCACATCATACAATTATTCCTGCTAAAAACTTCCTGCTGCTCCGAAAATGTAAATAAAAGTTTCTTGAAGTATAAACTACAAAATGCTCCTTAAACTGTTTCTCTTACGGTCTATTAATGAGAAATACTTATACTGCAAACGTGCTTGCTAATGGTAACAAAGCAACGAAAGTTACAACTATATAATTCTTATTAACAATGGAATGTGCAATCTTCTAAGATTCTATAGAGCGTAGGAATGTTCGAATGCAGTCCTGAATCCCGTTGTTCGTAAAATTACTGTATCGATAATAGAATGTAACCACGCTGATTGGCCAGGAACACACCTGTTTTGTTTTCTTTATAAATATACGTAGTGGGATACATACAGAAGTTCGAACTGAGAGATTTCGTCACTTGTATATAAATATATATGTAGTGTGTTGCTATCTCGCGAAAAATAAATTTGCCTTGCAACATGTAACGCTGTGCGAGTGCGATTTCGTACTTTACATACAAGTTTTAAGAAAAATTAAAAATACACTAAGAATACATGTTTTTAAGTATATATATAAAAAAAAAAACTATGCTGCAAACATATATTTAAGTATTTCTGAGACGTTTTTGTTTTTCTTATTCAATTTCATTCAACATCTAATAAATTTGTACGTGATAAATATTATATATTTGATCTTCGACAAACAATTGCGTTATCTAGTGACGGAATTTCTTTGTTCAAACCGGACATTTCTAATTAATAATTACATATATATTAGTTATCGGTAATACAAAGTAGTCCAGCCGTCAATGAAAATTTCTTTGATAAAGAGAGATGGTTGACTACGCGTTTTTTATATAAAAAAGATTTTGATTTGTCAAGCATTTAGTTGATCCATTTCAGAGTTGTACTTAGTTATTGCATCTTACATGGACAGATTTATATGTCAACGTTAAAATGTGTTTTTTTGTTTGTTTTCTTTTCGATTGAATCGGATTACCTAAAAAATTAGTACCCTAGTCTACGCGGTTTTCGTTAATAAACTTTCTGCGAAATATACAGATGCAAGAAAATATATATTAAGCACCTAATTTCTTTTTGTTTTTTTCTTTCTTAGATAACGTCAACTCTCATAAATAACTTCAGTTTTAAACATTTAGCACCATTATATTCGAAAGAATAATTTGATGGATTCTTTTTAGGCAATCCATTTTTTGTTTTTTTTTTTTTTGTTTAGACGGATGTGATTTCTCCTGATATAATGTATACATTTTTTTAATAATTGTTACAATATTATGTACCAGAGTAACTTTATACATGTATATAAATGAGGTAATAGAAATGTTCAGTCGTAAAATTAAAAGCAAAGAGATATTTTAAAGTAAACACAAACACTAGTATAGAGAAAGATTTTTTTTCTTAAAAAAAGGTGGAAGAGAGAAATCAAGTTACTCAATAATAAGTAGTAACTCGTGTTTTTCACAACTCCTCTCTAATATTAAAGTTACCATTGTAACATTCCTGTAATTTGCTTGTATGAGTAATAATACTAGGCATACTTTTACATAATAACGTAGAAGGCAGTCTGTCTGAAGTCAAATGTATAAAAAAACAAATCAAACGATTTATCCGTTCAATTCATCGTTATTAAAATTCCATTAAAATACGCGAAACTCCAAAATATAATAAATTTTACAAGTAATATACGTAATTTACTTTATTGTTTTTTGTTTCGTTTTTGTTATTGTAATTAACACACATGGTTTTTCACTTTCCTACGCACAATAATAAATCGTAAAAATATATTTTACACGTTCATTAATAAAGTGAATTAGTTATACTGTTTCTTTGTCTCTTAATTATGTGATATTTGTTAGAAAAAATCTATTTTTCAGGAACTGCTAATATCTTTGTTCTACTCTGTACGTATTGTAATTGCGAACTGTTATAGTTTTGTGTAGCGTATTGCTGTTTTTTTACAAACCGTATACAAAAATACGTCACTTCTCTGAAAATACGCATCAGACATTTCCCTTCTACGTTTACAGCGCAACTTATAAGTATTGAGCCATAGCTTGGCAGTGCCTTTATTAGAAACTATAAGTTCAATTCTGTGAGTTTTCCTGAATTTTCTCACGGCAGTCAATTAACAGACACACCCGTGACGCTCCGACGACGAACTTGTCGATATTATATATACGAAAGAAACAACTCTCAAAAAACTCTCTTTTACACAGGACTTATAAGTAACATGATTGAAAATTATATCTCCTCTATGTATAATCCGCGGTAATACCCGTCGCAAAGTTTGATATATTCTTATCCGTATTCGTATCTTCGTGCTAAAATTATAACGATTCTATGTATATATAGAAAAATTACGGGAAAAAAATATATGTGTACAATTATATTAGTAGTAACAATAATATGTAATCATATGTTAGTTTATAACAATGCCGCGCCGGTTCTGCGCTAATTCAAATTCAGTTTACTTACGCAGGAAGTACTACTCAAGATCTCGTCTTCTTCTTCGATCTCTTCGCTCAGATCCTCAGTACGAGCACTCGGTGGTTTCTCCTCTTTCTTCGTTTGCGATTTGAAAGGACTGTCCATCTTACTCGGTTCCTTGAAAGGACTTTGTTCATTCGCACTACCGGATGCAGACGACACAAAGTCCTCTTCGTAGTTGTCTATACTGTCTGTGCCTGTGTGTGCGTACATACGCAAAAACATAAATTTTAATACCTCCGCAAATTGTTTTTACCGCCTATACACACTTGTATGAAACTCACCAAGGCCAATATCCATTAATTCCTTCAGATCGTTGATGTTAGCTTTTTTGCCATTCAACGGGGGCAGATCGCCGAATATAGAATTGGCTTTCTGATTTATGGCAGGCAAACTTTCCAAAAACGATTCGGCTCTATTGATTGTACTAACGTTCTTTCGCTCACCGCCAACAATAATCTCGTCAAAATATATGGTTTTACCAAGATTGTTTCCCGTGTTAACCGGTCTTTTACTTTGTACATTATTCTCTACACTTAAATCGGAACTATTTATACTGTTCTGCTTAATTATATTTTCATTTTGATTTGTTTGTGTGTCGAGCGACACGGAGTCGTCGAACTTAATTAAGGACTCGGATTTGTTCAGTGGACCCGTTGGATTACACACAGTATCGATCTTCTCTACCAGATTGTTCATCGTCGCACACGAGCCCGGTGAATTTTCGGTGCTGCTGTCAGAATGCGCGTTATTCCTATCATCTTTAATTCCCTCAATGTCTGTTGTACTCTCTCTGGATTCGTGTTCGTGATGATCCAACGTTTCCGTTAAAATGTTATAAAGCTGCGGATCTTTACACTTTTTGTCTGTTATTGTCACATTTATTGGAACTTTTGGACTGTGCTCGGAAATGCTCTCCAACTTTTCAGAGAAGTCATTGTCGTTCAGCGACGACACGGATTCGTTATGAACTATCTTAGGAACGGACACCTCAAATGTTGCATTTGCGAAATTTGTGGAAACTTCTTCTTCTGTCTCGTTGTGTCTGTTGCTACTTTTATTCTGTAAGAAACATGTTCAATTAACTTATGTGTTGAAACATCTTATGCATTATATTAATAATCACCTGAAATCAAAAGAAAATACCTTTTGTAAATTAAAAGCACCACTATTCTTCAGGATTTCTCCTAGCAATGGCTCAGTTGAATCAATACCTAATTCTTCGCACAATTTATTTCTCCCTACATAGTTGTACTCTTTTCCAAAGTATGTCTCAGGATCATACACAGATATTGTATAGTCAAGTCCAAAATATTCTAGGAATTCTCTAACCAAGGAAAACAGTAATTTTCCTTCTGAATTAGACAGGTACTGCTTTACAGTTTTGTTAAGAAGTGGTTCAGGATTCTAAAATTTATTTCAAACCTTTTACACATTTTATAAACAAACATGTTAGCACACACGTGTATACAGATATAAGGAAGAACAAACAATATTGGATGTTTTTCATTCTAAGTATAAAAAGTTGTTAAGATCACTCAAATAAAAACACATTGTAAACAAAAAGCTTTTTTTTTTTACGTTTAACCGTAGTACGCTCAAACAAGACCTTACCATCACCGAATCCTGTTCTTCCAGCGCCAGGAACACACTCGCTCTGAGTTCCGCCTGTGAACATCGCAAGAAAAGTCTCGATTACACGCGACGAAGACGAGGGAAACGTTTTTTGTGTGTGACAGCGTTCGCGTTCTTCATCCGTTTATTTTCTCCTATTGAAAACGCGTCTAACCTAAAGGAACCCGCATTTTTCTCGCGATCACATCTTTTTTTTCCCCACTCCCGGAACATACCCGTATTTTCGCAAGGACGCCGTTATTCTCCAGAGTCTGCACCACCAAGTCCCGTAATTCCGTGTCCTCCTCCATCGAGATGTTGCCGTCAATCATGATTTACAAATAAAAAAAAATTACGCCGACGACCATTCAAAAGATGTAAATATTTACGCTTTCCATCGCGTGTCTATTTTTTCCGGGATGGATGCGACACATGTACACGGTTATATGCGCGCATGTATGAGTACTACGTGGACACCACGGGTGACATATGCGTATACATATGTCTCTCTCTATGGGCTGCGTTTCAAAGCACTATCTGTCGGATAGAACTTGCATTTGACTGACCAACCAACCAGAACCGTAAGAGCAAATGTTTCTGTATATTCTGATTGGTCGATCAAAACCGTACTTTACCCGACGATTAGAATTTTTGAACGCAGTTCAGTGTATAGGTTTGGTTTTTTTTCTCTGCATCGGAGTTGCACTAAACTGCACCGGAACTGTCGATTTGTGTCGATTGGACAAGCGAAAGTCCATGTGCACTGATGCACGATAAAGAAAGAAAGTTGGTCAGAAAGAGATCTTATTACATTAGTTATACATGTATTTATTATAAAAACTTCTTATTGTTTTCCATACCAGAACAGACTGTTTTATTCATCGATGGACGACATATAATCCGACAGATCGTCAACAATTTCACGACGTGATCGGTTGAAAAATTCACTCACGACCTCGGGAATATTAATGAGCGGCCGCTTCAATAAAACGTGTCTGCAAGAACGAATTTTAATGAACGTGAATCATTAATTTTGAACACTTTCAATATACTAAAGCGCTTGTGTTCCACTTACCTCAGAAAAATAATAATCAAACCTTTGACTTCCGGATGATTTTTGAGGTAAATTTCGTTTTCTCTTCGAATACTCATTTTCATTTCGTTCAAACTTTCTTTCTGATCCTTCGTTAACGCACCTAAATCGTAGTTTGTCATGCCTTGCGGTGGATCCGCCGGATGAAAAGAGTTTTTGAAAATATGTTTTGACATGATGATCGTTAAACAATCATCGCTCAGCTGGGACAACAGGTGTTCTTGTAATTATTTATACAATTTCTTGAACTGCTATTTTATATACAATAACAGTTCGAGTATTATTCACAAAAATAGCATCTCTCATGATGCAACACAAAGATTAGTAAAATATGAAAAAACGGTACATAAATTAGCTTTTGTTTTTACACAAAATAACAGAAGAAATACACATATATTAAGTGGTTTTTTAACAATTTTATTACATTTTTTACAGATTATTCTTATTACTGGTAAATTAGTTTCAAAATTAATTTAAAAGTAACTTTATTAATTGAAAAAATTTATTTTTTTTATCACTCAAAAATAATACAAATTAATTTTGTCAATTATAGCTCCATGATAAATAATGATTATTTGTAATTGTTTGATAAGAATTAATATTTGGATATACATAAAAGATATATAACATAGAATTATAATTTGTATAAATAGGATAAAATAATCTGTGGGCATATTTTTATGAGAGAGAGAGAGAGAGAGAGAGAGAGAGAGAGAGAGAGAAAGAGAAACAAGTAATTTAATATGCAGTGCATTTACATGATTAGATTATATTTAATAACATACAAACATACATTTAAAATATTTGCGTATAAAATATGACAAGGTTTTAATATTTAATTTTTTAATATCTATGACCAGAATGTCGTAACACATTAATAAACATCGCGGGATATGAGTATCATTTTGGAATTACCCGGAATTCGAGTCGAGGTCAATAGAGCTGCGTTCGGAAACATCACTAGTGTATATTTTATCTTTATTACTCATTATATATAAAACAAAGATAGAATGACGCTCGTGTGTACACGAGTGCTGTTTCCGAACGTGACGTAGGATGATATTTAACGACAAATGCAGATGCCGTCGCGACAGCGACCGCCCCGACGACGCTGGGCCAAGCATTTCGCGGCGCATGCACTGTGATTAATGGAGAGCCACTGGGATTGCCAGGACAGAAGATCGCAGGTCACGCGTGCTTGCCGAACGGGTGAGTTTGTCGCATCTTCGTTACCATCATTTGCCGGTTCTTCGATAGGTTCTAAAAACAGAAGAGTTACTCTCTTATAACGCGATTTCTTCGATTATTTGTTTTGCAAGAAATGAGAAATTAGAATTTCATCCCGTATATTTTATATCATTTTTACGTTTTTATGTTTTTAATCATTATAAATTTTTTAACATTAAAAATAAGAGACTCACTTAGTTCGTAAGTTGGTCCATCATAGATAGTTGGTCCGTTTATTGTGTCAGCGGACGCATAAGCCAACACGGCGAAGATGACAAAAACAGCGAGTGGTTTCATGATTGCTTACAAAAACTTTATGCATTCGGTTTTGACTGGATTCTTTTAATGACACGCCGCTTTATATATTCGCAATGTTATCGCCGGGAACATCCTTTTTTGTTTATCTTTTTTACCGCTACTTCCGTTTAAAACGACTTACCATGTCCCGGAATTCTTGTGGCTTCACGCAAGTCCTATCTGCAAGGATATAAACTACACGTTCTATCATCGATTTCCGCTTATATTACATTAACTGAAGAAAAGAGCGATGATAAAGATCAACCAAACGTGGTTTTATCATTTAGGTGATCATACAAATGTGATAAGTTACAGGATGTATGTCCATGTCGCGATATTTCGTCCGAGATACGACCGAGATTTTTTAAACCTTCGAAAACTTATTCGGTCTAGATGACTAGAAATATTTTTCTAGTTTTTATACAAATCTATACAAAGAAGCAAATTAAAACAGACACATAAAGACGTTTTAATCTTGTTACAAGATATATCATGGACGTGTTCGATTTCTGATTAATTTTATATTTTACTATATTTTTATATATGTTTTTTATTTTAAATAAAACAATACTATTTTTTAATCATTATTAATATTTTTTATTTTAAGAATTTCACATTAAATATACAAAACATATGTATCTTTTAATAACATTTCTTTATTAAGTGTGTAATTAAAATATAAAATAGAAACATTTTTATTAAAAGACTCTTTACTTATATATATTATTTGATAATCATCTTATTAAATGTATACATTTTATAAAAGATGACTATATAATTGTATTATAATTGTATACAAAAATAGGTAGGATGGGATAATCTATGAGCATTTCTTCATGGAAGAGAGAAGCAAGTTAAAAGAATAAACTTAATATACATTGCATAAACATAATTGGATTATATTTAATAATACACATATACATTTAAAATATTTGTATAAACTGTTACAAGTTTTAATATTTAGTTTTAATAATATCTACATGTCCAGAGAACGAGTTGTAAAATAGTAATAAACATCGGGGGATACGAGATTCATTTCGGGATTACCCGGAATTCGAGCGAAGGTGCGTGGATTGATATTTAACGGCAAACGCAGACGCCGTCGCGACAGCGACCGCCCCGACGACCCTGGAACAAGCATTTCATGGCACATGCACTGTGATTGATGGAAAGCCACTTGGATTGCCAGGAAAAAACATCGCAGGTCAGACGTGCCTGTCGAACAGGTGAATTTGTTGCATCTTCGTCAACTACATCATTTGCCGGTTCTTCGATAGGTTCTAAACCAGAAGAATTCTTCCGTTATAACGCGATTTCTTCGGTCAATTTGTTTGTTTGCAAGAAATGAGAAATGAAAGTTCCATCTCGTATATTTTAAATCATTTTTCACGTTATTTTTTCAATCAGTTTTTAACATTAAAAGTAATAAACTCACTTAGTTCGTAAATTGGCCCGTCGTAAGTACCAACTGCGTTAGCGGACGCGTAAGCCAGCACAGCGAAGATGGCGAAAACAGCGAGTAGTACTTTCATGATTGTCGTAAAAGTTTTACTTGAAAAAGAATTTCTTTACAATACAGCGGCTGCTTTATATATATTCGTAACGTTATCACCGAGAACATCCTTTATCATTTTTTAGCGCCACTTCCGTTCAAAACGACTTCCCTCACCGGAATTCCTGTGGCTTCACGTATATACTACGCTATTTTAGCCGCGAGGACATCAATCGGATTCCCCGATGTGAACACATCTCATTATCGATATTTTCGGTAGTATTTTTCTACTTTTTAAACAAATTCATAAAAAAATAAGCAAATTAAAAAACAAACATAGAGCTTTAATTTTATTAATTTTATTAAAAGATGTATTATGGATGTGTTCGATCATCCCTGATTAATTCTATCAAGTTGATTAACTCGCGGAATTGACCAATTTATCATGTGTGAGATATGTTTGACCAATTCCGCGCGAGTTATTCAACCGATTAAATTAATCAGAGTTAGCCGAGCTCACCGCAAATGATTAAGCTTTTTAACACAAATGTACACAGACATTTTATTTGATCAAAAAAGTGTTTTCATCATATTCTTTTTATATTTTTATATTAATTTCACGTGTGTATTAATTTTTTATATATAAAATGAGGAAAATTGCAAAAAAAAGTGCAAATTCCCTTGAATATCTACAATCTCAAAGCTAGTAAAATTGCTCACATTTATCATTTTTATCTCTTGGTTTTAAAATATATCATATTTATAATCTTTATCTCTTCGTTTTCATGATATATGCAATTAACCTTGATTGGTTATTGAATATAGGGAATTTCAGAATACTGTGGTTCTCTCATTTTGTTTCACTGTTACAAGATGTCGCTTTATTCACTGCTAATGACTGCAACTCTATCGAGTATTTATTAAATGCCACGAATGAGCCAATCAAGTTTTAGAAAATTGGTAGTAGACTGTGGATATTGATGGTCTATTAAGGCAACATCAAATTAAATATAATCAAGGTTTACAAGACACGGCATGTGATATATCTTTCTACTGCTTTCGACTTGTTTTGTGTTTCACACAATTATGATTTTTATGCGGAATTCGAGCATATAATTGTAGATACTTTCCGATTGTCTTTTCAGCCAATAGCTACTCTCTGTATTTTTTTACATACTCGTTCCCATGTACATGCAGTATATTAGATTATATATAATACATATTTGTATAATTGCACATATTTATGATGTAGATATATAACGCGTGATAAGCACGATAAGCATGCGCGATAAACACGATAAACAATGCTTTTATTCTCAGATATCCGAGTGCACGGATAACGATCCTTCATTGGCAAGTGGACCACACTCGAGTGCTTCTCTATTGGCTCTTTAAAACAACAAGCGCAACAAAAGCGAGTTACTCGGGTTACCTCCAGTCAGACAATACTGCGTCATTTTGAGGGAAGTTCTTTTGAATAGAAAAGTACGTGAACTTAGTAACTTCGCTGCAGTAACTTCTTTCTTTTTTACACATCATTTTGCACATCGTTTTGTGTATACATATACATCTTGATGTAGTAATTTGGTGAAATATTCTGACTTTCACTGTGTGATAGAAAAAAAACTTATTGTCACAAAGTGCCGTTTATGTGAAGTTCCAGACCGCGAGATTTATATGACGAATATTGCGTCTTTGTTTCTTATCCTTGATCTTGTTTTTCTCCTCAGAATTCGCGAAGGACAACGTATATAGATACACGTATTGAATATATCATCGCGCTCTCTTGCATCTCAAGACGGAATTGCTCCAAGTGGCGACGCGATCGCGCCGGTAATAATTAGCACGAGGTGCGTGTGCTACATCACGAGACTTTTTAGGGGGGAATTGATTATATATAGTAGAGGAATCGTCTTGATTCATCATCAACTCTTGTTTTAACAAGCGTTAAGGTAATCTACAGTTTCAATCGAGTCTCAACTGTGCATCCAACGTCACTGATACAAGCCTTCAACATGGGAGTTGAACGAAAGGTATTTATCTTGCACTTATTTGTTTTGAACTTTTTCATTAACTGCATGGAAACAGTATCGAACGTGCGTTGATAACGCGTGATGTAAAGCAAAGGGAAACGTGCGAGGTAGATAAACACGCGCGTCCCCAGCGTGTTTTTTTGCTATATTTAATATATTCAATATTGCTGTTTACATAAGGGAGATTATCGATTAAAGTTGTTTATTCGATGCTATTTTTTATTCTGTTAGAATTTTGCTAGAGTATGTTATAAACTTTATTTTGAGTTTTATTTTTTTATTCTTTCTATTTTGTATTTTATTTCTACTCTAGATATTTTACAAATTAACGAGTGATAGTCACTTAATATTAAATACTATTAAAAACTATGTACGTTCTTTCTGATAAGAAGAAAACTTTTAATTGCTTTTATTGCTTATCTGTACCTTAGTTATTGCTTATCTGTAACTTAGTCATCGCATATATTACCAAAGATTCCATTATCCGAATATCACTGCCGCACATTTCTGTTTTCGCATTGTGCACGAGATCAAGGTCATAAATAAGCTGCAACTTCTATATATGTACTCATAGATTGCGGTTTCTAATTCCTGGAAGAATTTATATGCGTGTTTGTGTGCGCGTGCGCGCGCGCGTGTGATAACTGCGTTGGAGGAAATTAATTTAGTGGCAAAATGCGCATTACGCGAATGTACATGATATACAGAGTAAAATTGTATTTTCTTTTTATCTACAGATGTACATATTTAAGAGTACATACACACATATATATAAAAAATAAATGTTTTTTATTCATATATATAAGATAAAATATATTCTTGAGTTCATTTTTTTTATTTACTCTTAAAATGTAAATCGTGTTTTTTCAGGAATAAAAACGTCACCCGAAAAGTCTTGGTTCTTGTATTTTATCACAACCAAAAATTTAAAAATCCTTAGAAGGAGCAATTCTTTGATAGATTTTTCTGTAAGAAAAAAAATTTGATTCCGATTTATGAAACAATTAAAAAATTTTTTTCTTAAACTTTATCGTCTTCCTTACTGTTTTAATTAAAATTTAGAATTATATGTATATTGGTAAATAAGAATACGGATTTAAAATTAAAAGTCTTCGTTTAGTATAAAAAATAACTAAAAAGCCAAAAAGCAAAGGCGTTTGAAAAGTAAGAAATTTTTATACTCATCAGTGTCAATAATATCTTTACATACCATGAAGTTACATTTAATTTTAGACTGTGATAAACAAAGCACTTCATTCGAATTAACGTTTCTGGAATTTCCAGAAATTCTTATTTTTGTTGTGTACTGACTGGCTGCTCGATAGAGAATTTCTAGGGTCCCGGAAAATCTACCCTATCGCGTTAAGTTCTAAATTTAACAAAGTGTGCATTTTGTATGCACAGGGCTGGTAACATGTGATATGACGCATGCGATTTCCTCGCAGACGGTATATGACATTTCGATTTTTTCATCAATCACTTTTGATACAATATTTGTCTGTTAATTCGTTTCTGATAATTATCGAACATTTACTTGTACGTGAGAACAAATAAGAAATTTTAGGAATCGTACACATTTTACATATCTTATTGTTTATTTATAAAGATATCTCGATTATTTAGCGATTAAATGGTTTACTACTAATTGGTAAGAAATAATTTTATATCTTCGTTATTTTAAGGAGAGAGAACGAAGAAATCCGATAAAATATTATATATATATATATATATATATATATATAATGTGTTAAAGTTTTTACAATTAATGTTTCTTATATCCAGATGTCAGAAAAAAGTCCGGAAATGAGAGAAACTGCCGCAAGGATTTGTCGAGATTACTTGCATGGTGTTTGGAAGCACGTTACAGCAGAAAATATTGTACTGAAACGTATTAGGTCTGTAAAATTGCAAGAACACATATAAACATCGTACAAAAATTAGCAGAATGATGATCAAACAACAAGAAATATTTTTAGTGGTGGTCTTAGTAACTGGTTATACAACGTTGAGCTTCCGGAAGGAGCAGTTCCAATTAGAGGAGAACCTCGTCAGGTTCTGATACGTCTATATGGGCAGATACACGGAGAGAGAGCCTTGGAGGGGTTGATTACAGAATCTGTTATATTCACGTTACTTTCGGAAAGGAGATTGGGTCCTAAGTTGCATGGAGTGTTTCCAGGTGGTCGTATAGAAGAGTATATTCCTGCCCGGCCTTTGCTCACGAAAGAACTGGCAGATCCGATACTGAGTTCGCTCATTGCACAGAAAATGGGACAAATACACATGATGCAGATACCAATCAGCAAAGAACCTTCGTGGATATGGGACACAATGAACAATTGGCTTAACACGGCGACAGACATCCTCGAAAACACCGAGGACATCGATGCTCGGCATCTGGAGAACATTCGCATAATAAAACGCATAGACTTGGAACGTGAAATCAAATGGTTTAGGTAAGGTGAAATGTTTAATAAGTTTATAGAGAAAACGCGCGCACTAAAATTTTTACCTGAATTAAAAATTTTCCTGGTATTTTAGGTCATTCGTAACGCAACAAAAATATCCGGTCACATTTTGCCACAACGACATGCAAGAGGGCAATATACTTCTGCGTCAAAATACGCGAAAGCCTGAATTGGTACTCATCGACTTCGAGTATTGTTCCTACAATTATCGAGGATTCGATATCGCCAATCATTTCATGGAATGGCAATACGATTACACGACACCAGAATATCCTTTCTTTCACGAACATCCTGCAAGTGGTCCTACAAAGGAGCAGAAGGTAAGTTTGAAATAACCAAAGGGTGGGAAGACAGAAAATAAAACACTTTCGGTAAGATCTCCTCTGATTACCCGTTCAATATTTGTTATTCATTGTTATCATATCATGAAGTTTTTTGTAACTAGATTGTCATTGATAATATATCGCAAAAGTAAAAGACGTTTGATAAATTGGCAATTATATTTGACTCGATAACGGAAATTAATCAGTAACGAAGGGAACTTTGTGATCTTCGGATACTGAAATAGATATTTTCTCTAATATAATTAGGAAACAATAATTTACTTCATTTACTTTGTTCTCATATTTTGATACATATATAACATTGATCGAACATTTGATCTAATTCGAAGAGATTTCATTTAAAAATTTAATTAAAATGCATTTATGATAGTGTGCATATTGTTTGATAAAAATTGTCTGACGTAGTAGTTACACGCGGATGATGAGGATGCAAGTGTGTTATTCGATGCCAAAACACGCAGTAGATAGGATATCGGTTTTGCGTGCGTTGCGTGTGTATATATTAGTTTCACAGGACCGCAAATCTGCCAAGACAAGGCTGATGCCTGCAATCAGAGAAAAAAATGGCCATCAATGTGAAAACAGTCTGTGCGATGGATCCTGACTCTCGGTCATGCTCTACGTTTATGGAGCCAGAGTGCCACTGATGACACCGTCTTGAGAACAACATCAATCCGCTCCTCTACAACATTCGAGTACCTGTATACTCACTAGTCAATTCGTAGCCTGCGTACTGCCTTTATGAATGTACTTTTTTCGAAAAAAAGCGGTAAAAGTGTGTTATCTTCGTTATTGGAGCACTTTAACCGACGCGATATCCTGTACGCATAATTGAACGTGCAGTAATTAGACTAAAACTACTCAAGTAACTTAACAGGCCATTTTTTATTGCCAATAACTTATAGGGATTTACAATCGTTAAAAAAGTGATATGTATAATTGTTAAAAGAATGATACAAAATACGTATTTCTCTTCTAATTGCACACATAGATAGGAGTAAATAATTTTCATGAGATCATATTCTTTTTATTTTACCATCGATATATGTCAAGATAAATATTGAGTTCTTAAATGAGAAAATACATAAAACTCTTCTTGATATATTTATATGTACATATTTCGTATTATTTTTGTATAGTTATATATACATATTTCATATTATTTTATATATAATTTCAAATTTTTATCACATTCTTCCTTTTCTGTGTATCTCAGTTGTTAATGTTCAAACTTTATATATATGTCTAATTGTTCACATTATTCTAACAATTTGACATTGCTCTTGATCCATTGGACAGTAAAATAGTTATTATATAGTATTGTAATATCATTAAATTATTTTATTATAGAATTTATCTTAACAACAAGAAAGAAGTTATTTGAAAAATTTTAAATTTTTGCTGTCAAAAAGAGACTATTATCTCAATAATTTATTAATTTTTTGAACCCTTTATATATCTCTTCTCTTCAATTCGCATCTTTAAAAACTGTTTTTTTTTTTCGATACAGCTTGACTTCATAAGAACGTACCTGAAAACGGTGGGAAAGGAAGGATCTGCGGAAGAAGAACGCGTCATGATGGAAGTGAGGGTATTTTCACTAGCTAGTCACTTATTTTGGGGCCTCTGGAGTATCGTGAATGCAAAACTATCACAAATTCCGTTTGGTTATTGGGTAATGTTTTGCATTATTTTCTTACCCTTAGATAAACTATAGCTTTGTTTACTTGGGAAAATGTTAAAATTTTTGATGATTTTTCAGGATTACGCTGTCTGTAGATTAAAGAACTATATGGACTTGAAAGAGAAAATTCTAGTCTATAGACCATTAGATTTGCACAATATCAAAAAATTGAAAGATATAGATTGAAAGAATAAGGTGATCCGCCATTGTGAAAATGGGGGAAGAAAATGCATTTGCAATTTACTAATATCTCGCTACATAAGTAGACAGCTTTACTTCTTTGATGTTCCAACGATATTATTAAGTTTTAATAAGCAGCGAGGGAAAGAGAGGAGAGAGAAAAAAGCAATCATTTAACAAAATTATTCACAAAAGGGGATTTTGCTGTTTCTTCGTGTAGGAGCATTAAAGTAATATACATGCAAACATCAAGAAATTTTAATGAAAGGAAAGTCAACTATGTGATATAGAATAAGCATGTACTCTTAAATTTTCATGACTTTATTTAATACCTTGTTATTCTTTCTTTTGTCTTCTATCTAATGAAATAGAAAAGATTTAACAAAAACTTGAGGAACGTATATATGTAATGTATTTTCACGAATTTTCAAATAAAAATATTTAAGTTTTTGTTTTTACTTTGAACAGTGTTATTTCCAATTTTTTCCTTACCGATGTGTTCTTGGGATGATTCTTTCTAATTTAGAAAAAATAAGACATATCTAAGAAATAAGCGTTCATATTTATTGACGACATATATTAAGAGACAATTTCATAATTGTGTAAGTGCGTGAATCAGCTTTGCTGATGTAACAAACGAATAAGTCAGAGGCATGGTCCGGAAGAAATTTTCAAAGTGTAAGAATCTCAGACGCCCTGGATTCCAAAAGTTTTTCCATTGAGCTAACATCCTTACACCATCCATCAAGACGCTGCACCATTCCGGCGATCTGACTGCGATCCAGAACGCGCGGCTGGACCCAAGTCATATTGACGGTTCCCGCTACTTGATCTATGGCTCCTCGCACAAGCCCTTGAGCGAGAGCTTTCATTACCAATAGCTCCACTTCGCCGAGAGGCAGGCGCGTCTCTTGAGAAATTTCCGCAAATGTAAGTTGTCTGAAACAAGTTATTTAATTGCTGAATTACCAATATTTAATATCATAGACGATCATAATTTGCAATATTCTGCGCATCAAAGATAATAAATATTATGAGTTGCGACATACACACCGATTGTTAGCTTGTCGTTTGAAAGTCATTTCCATGAGGCACAAAAGAGAAATCTTCTGCCTCAGTTTTAATTCCTGCGCTGCTAAATCGGCCACTTTACTCCATTGTGGTTTTAATCTCTCCAAAGCGACAATGTCGCCGGCGTTGAACGCCTGTAGCAAATCGACGAGCCAGGCATTCGGCGTTCCCTTCAACGATTCTAAGACCGGATGCGCAAGCAGTTCCCCAAGATTGTAAACTCCCTCACCTAAGAGTGCTGCAAGTCCAAGGAAAAAAGCGTGTTGTTCCTGATCTTGTCTGCTTAAACTGCTCAGTTCAATGCAACCTAAATATCTTGAAGATAAAGAAAACATGTATTGAAAATGTAAGTATATAAAAACTTTTATAACATTTTACATAAAAATCTTTTGTACATTATATTCCACAAATTACATATAAAACTACCTCAATGCTGTGCGATAATATTCTGCATGTTTGCCCTGTAATCTATACAACCGGCTGGCTAGAAGATAAAAACGTCCATGAACTGCTGTAACACCATCAGCATTATCCAGCATAGTTTCCACTTCTTCTATAATTTTTTTTGCTTGTTCCTGATTGTTCAATTTATCCAATAATATTTGTCCTTTAAGAACTTTGCAGAGAGCAACAGCTTCATTATTACTTTGAACCTTGGCTTCAGTTTTCTCTAAGAATTTAATAGCCTCCTGTTTATCTGGAAACTGTTGTATCACATGTGCCAATATTTCCACAAATGACAGAGGGTTTATCCTTTATAGAGAATAATACTAATATTAGTAATAACAAACAAGAATGATATAAATAATACACAAATGGTATATAAACACAAAGAACATAGAAAAAAGAGTCAAACACATATTTTTATATTTTAAAATATAAATTTAAAATATAAAATTTATAAACTACAAAACACTTACTTATTTTCGAACGTTGACAGAAAGTTTGTATATAATTGCACGAGATTATCTCCTTGCTGGAGCACTGGATGTTTTACGAATGTCTCCAATTTGAGCGTCAGCTGATGCCAAAGCCTGCAAGTCACCGGGGTCGACCAAGGAACATGTCCGTTATTTTTCACACAATACGTTCCTCGTTATATAAAATATTATGCATTTCAATTACCTTTTATTGTATAGCTCCTCGAGCTGCGCCCATTCTCCGGCGAGGTCTTTGTCAGCAACATTTTGCTTCTGACTGAGAAAAGTGTTAACATCCTTCACTGCCACTGTCGCCGCCATGCTTGATGACAACACGAAAGAACAAAGAAGCAAGATAGGCAAATTATAGAAGCTGCGCGCGCTCCATCACGCTATAAATGGCCACGTTTATATTGCGTTCAATTTGAGAAGAGAAACCGGATGAACAAAAGCTTGTCCGTTTCGCGCATCTCCCCTACTCCACAGAAAGTCTCCCTACTCAATCTCGTTACTTTAAATAATCACGTGTTGTTTTTCTACTCTTTCCTGTCACGTGACTTTAGTTACGTTTTTAATTTTCTCTACATATACGACGAACTCTGTTTCAAAATCGCTTTTAGTATTTATTCTCTCGATATTACCGATTCGATTTGACTCGATCAACCAACCCACCAATCGGCAACGCGGAAAAGAGACAACAATGGGTGCGAGATATTCGACTCCAAACGCTGACTTATTGGTACACATGACTTTTTTAATATAGAGAAGAGACTAGCAGACAACGCGCGCTACGCGCGCGCTTTCATTTTCTTCGGATTCAATTCAAAACAATTATTATTCCAGTTATCATTTTTTTGGTTTTTTTATAAATAAAAAAAAACATTTTTATACTGTTTCTTCTTAATGTTATACCTATATTTCTTCTTTCTT